TATTATACTGTAGATCCATAAATACATATATACATTATAGATATTAATCAAATAGGTGAATATTTCTAGCAGTATTTCTACTATCATCGTCTAGCCCTCCACCAGTCATCCCTTACCTATATAGCTACCGCTAACAGACGGGTGCTTTTCGAGGTACACAGTCCCATCGCTGGCAAAAAAATGGGCATGCGACTCAAACTTCCGTCCTCGTTCGTTCACAAACACTCGTATTGTAATTTTGGCATTCCTGTTTAGTCCGTTAATATATATACTTTGATGTTCATCTATAAATGCAGCTGGGGGAGAAACTATTAATTCAATCATGATAGGTTTGCATTTCGCCAAGTACAGACTTCTCTTCGGTCAACATTTCACTTATTTCACACGGTTGGTGGCGCTAGACCAGAAAAGTAATCGTTCGAGGTGAGTCAATGTGCCCTTGAAAGTCCCTCACTTTCTGCTAGAAAGAAAAACATACCCCACTGACAGCGTCGACACCTTCGTATCTTTTACTAACAAAACCTCGCTACCTGACAAACTATCCCATACAAAGGTCCCCCGCCGATTCAGTAATATACAGCCTGCCCTAATATAGCGGTATCAGTATTTGGTAGATGTCAGTTCAGCAACAGGTTTAGGCTCCTACCTCCAGAAGGACCAGAGACGAGGATGCAACATTTGTTACATCAGCTATTCAGCCTCCTAAGTATTTAGCACCTTGTTTCCGACGCTTTTAAGGTATTGAATAAGATAGGGTACACTTTTTTTTAATATGAACCAGTAACATTTTTCTCAGGCTCAGTGTTTTGATTTTTTGGCCGATTTCAGGCTCAAAATGTTCTTATTTTGTTTTATTATTATTGTACAGCCATATACACTGAGTACTGGAATGTAGGAAAATTGGCCCTGGGAAAAATAGTCCTTGAAAAAGGGCTCTGAAAAAATGGCCACAGAAGAAAGGCTCCGGTAAAAATGGCCCCAAATGTCATTTTAGAGGGTATTACATAGTCACATCTACTGCACATATAAGGTAGATATAATTTTTTTTTTTCTTTTTTTTTCTAGTTTTTAATATAAAAATCACATTTGACATTTTACCTTTAGCCTCAATTAGTGTAGTTTTACCGGACTCAGCCTTTTTATGCCACATTTTTCTGCTGTTTTCATCAGGAAATTACAAGAAATTCGCTGTTTTGGACTTCAATCTTTTTTTTCTCTCTCGCACCTGCAAACTTTTTTCGTTTGAAATGGCCCAAATAGATTTTTGGAGAAAAATTATATAAGCTCAAATCTAATATGATTTGAGTAGTTTTACCGAAACAAAAGAAAAATATAAAGTCCTACCAAAAATATTTTGGCGCTACAGGTCGCTAAAATGATGTCATTTGTGACATTTAATTATTTCAATAGGAACATAAGAAGTCTCTGGCATGTTTGCTCAAAGCCTTATTCAATAGAATGACATTTATTAACTAAGACCC